GACGATCTTTGGAGACGATGGTCTTCACGTAGAGGGCAAACAAAGAGGGTCGTCTGCTGAGTTCTCTAGCCATGGTGTTGCTGGAAGTGGGTTGTATTGGTTTAGTCTGCATGCTCTGCAAACGGTGGAGCTAGCGGTCTTTGGTGAACTCCATTGTCTCGGCTATCCAATCATAACAAACCGGACCCAAGTTTTCCAGCCATTGTATGCCTAGAACCGAATCCATCCTGATTAGTGGTAAAGCAAAGAGAGTAAGTCGGAAGGAAATATCGTTTAGTAGCACCGGTATATCCTCAAAGCGGCCTCGGCATCTCATCGGGTCACCATTTGCGACCTTAACTAGGAAGGCGGCACCACTAGGAGCTGCAGAGAGTTGGCGAGTCGCTCACTGATGAAGTTGTGAGTCGACCCGCTGTTGATAAAGCAAAGAGAGTAAGTCGGAAGGGAATACCGTTCAGTAGCACCGGGATATCCTCAAAGCGGCCTCGGCATCTCATCGGGTCGCCATTTGCGATCTTAACTAGGAAGGCGACACCACTGGGAGCTGCAGAGAGTTGGCGACTCGCTCACTGATGAAGTTGTGAGTTGACCCGCTGTTGATGAGGGCAATGGATTCTTGTTTATGAATGGTGGCACAGACCTTCATAGTTTTTGGAGTCGACCGCCCCGTGAGGGTATGGAGGGAGATTTCTGGTTCCTCAAGCCTTGTTTCCTCTTTGTCTTCTTCGTTCCTGCCTTCGAGGAACAGGAGTTGCGGTCGTTTCCACCGGTGGCCTGTGGTGAACTTCTCGTCACAAGGGTAGCACAAACCTTGCGCTCGGCGACGTATTGCCTCGTTCCAAGAGAGTCGTCGGGGTGGAACGTTTGTAGCAGCTAGGGTTTCTAGTGGACTGATTGGGTTTCGAGGAACCCGGATCAGCCTCTTCTGCTGGTTTAGTTGTTCCTCCCTCATGCGGGCTAGGCTAGTGGCCTCTTTCAGTGTTTTGGGCCTGAACATGCGGATACCTTCTGTGATTTCGGGCTTAAGCCCGCCGATGAAAGTGCCCACCAGCGCTTTCTGGGTCCAGCCCTCCACTCGATTGCCCTACTTCTCAAACTCCTTTTGGTATTCACGTAATGGGTCGAACTGCCTCACACGGGATAGGGCCTCATCAAAGTCTTCGCACTCCGTCGGCCCCAACCGGGCCCAAAGCACCTCCTAAAAGATAGCTCACGTGACCTCTTTCTCTTCTCTATATGTGTGGCGAAGCCACTGCCACCATTGGTTGGCTTCTCCCGTTAGATGAAAGGAGGCTAAGGAGACCTTCTGGTCGTTGGCGATGTTTTGGAAGTCAAAGGATTGCTCGGCTAGGTTACACCATTCAGTCAGGTTGTCTCTGTCGAAGGTGGAAAAGTCCAACTTTGTGATTTTGGAACCGAACATCGGTCGGCCCCCTTCAATCCGCTCAGGAACTTCTTTGCGAGGCGGATGCGATTGCCCGGGACGGTCAGTGGTGTTGCTGCTAGCACCCTCCCTATTGAGCATCAGGGAGTCAACGAGTCGTCGTACGGTATGTTTGAGCTGAATCATGTGGTCGATCAGGCCAACCTCCATTCGGCTGAGATGGTCCTGCATTCTGCCCACACAGTTTTCCAGGTTTTCAATCATTTCTTTGCTGGTGGTCATGACTCTGATACCAATTGATAAGTCCCAATTAGAAGCATGTTTAATTTGATAAGAAAATTTTATCTCTTGGGTGAGAAGAATCACAATTTGTTTGCAAATTTTCGATGTCTCTTACTGCTGCAAATGAGTGTTTAAATACATAAAATATCTAATTGAATCTACCGATAAACTAGGGAAAAGAATTCAAAATAAAGATAAGCTTGAAGATAAGATTGAGCTGATTCCAGCTAACATTTTCTGCACGTTTTCTTCCTCATTTTCTGCACGTTTTCTTCCTCTTCTTTTGCACGTTCTGCGCATGTGCTTTTACTCAGTCCAAATACTGTTTGGGTTTGATGGTGGGGCGTTGTGGCCTTTGCAGTTTATCATATAAATAGCAGATTCATTCCACAAAAGTGTACCCTAGATAATTTATTTATACATTGTTCAAATTGATGTCTTCCTGGGCTACTCTCAGCTGATTTTCAATCTTCAGCAAAAAAATGACGTTTCCAGTCTTGGTGGTTGTGTTTCTTTGGAAAGTATTTATTACTTCTGAAAATTTGAGATGGAGGCACATAAGAAAAAGTAGCTTGTTAAGATCTAATATTTTGGTGAAGTTAGAGGTTTCTCCATGTTTGAACATTCATTGACCATAGTTACGTCATGCTTAAGATTACAGCTGATAAATTTGGCTGAACGAGAGGTTGCATTGTCTTGGTTTGTGGGTTTCAGTTATTATTCATAAGCTATGGGAGTCTCAGCCAATTAATGTCTTATCAAATTGCATCTGTCATAAAACATGTACTGACGAAACATGAGTTTTCAGGTATTCAGACTTATAATGATGCTAAGCACTATGCTATATCTGCAAAGATACCAGAGTTCAGCAACAAGAATAGGATTCTGGTGGTCCAGTATTCTATTAAGATTGAACAAGACATTGAATGTGGTGGTGGTTATATTAAGCTCCTTTCTGGTTATGTTAACCAAAAGAAATTTGGTGGTGATACTCCTTACAGGTTTGTGATCCATCAATGCCATATGTATTCTTGTGAATTCTACATCTAAAAGTAGTGGAGTAAGACATCTGTTTAGTTAGTGTTGGCCTAAGATTATTCATTTGGATGTAACAAATCACACCATTTGGTAGATTAGCACGCAGAAGGATGTAAAATGTGTCTAGCACCTGGTGTGTTTCACCATTAGCAGCATGTTGGCCTTCCCTTTATGTGATAAAGCTGACCCGGAAATGTAGGGGCAGCAAAGATTTGAAACATAAAAGTTGACATAAATGGACTTTGTATTGGAAAGGCCTC